GTGTCCCTGTGCTCGAGCAGGCTGGGGGTGACAAACCCCCAAGGCCACCAGGGGCACAGACACCTGAGTTCATTTACACAGGGCTGGACAACACAGGGGGGGCTCCCCCTCCTCTTTCTGGGGGGTGGGGGCAGACCCTCCTCAGGGGCTCAGGCCCCGTTTCAGCCCTGCTCACCCCCTGGCCTGGCAGTGCAGGAACAGGGGTTCCCTGCTCCAACAGGGCAGGGAGGCAGGAGATCTGCAGGTAAAGGGATCACTGAGCTCACAGTGACCGGGGGGAAACTCTGGCTCAGCCTGTGAGGACACAGCAAGGGATGGAGGGGTCCAGGTGAGTCCCTCTGGCTGAGCTGGTGGCTCAGGTGTGGGCTCAGGGATGGTCTCAGGGATGGGTCAGGGATGGGTCAGGGATGCTCTCAGGGATAAGCTCAGGGCTGGGTCAGGGATGCTCTCAGGGATAAGCTTAGTGATGGGTCAGGGATGCTCTCAGGGCTGGGTCAGGAACGCTCTCAGGGATGGTCAGGGCTGGGTCAGGGATGCTCTCAGGGATAAGCTCAGGGATGGGTCAGGAACGCTCTCAGGGATAAGCTCAGGGATGCTCTCAGGGATGCTCTCAGGACTGGGTCAGGGATGGTTTCAAGGACAGTCTCAGGATGAGCTCAGGGCTGGTCCCCCACCCCTGTACCTGGTCCATGTACACGGCTGTGATGGCTCCCGAGTGGCCCTGCAGGGTGAAGAGGCAGCAGGAGTCCTCCAGCCGGAACACCTGGGGCAGGACAGGCAGGTGAGGGCTCTGGGGCAGCCACTGAGGGTGTGGGTGGTGCCACCTGAGCTCCCCATGACCCAGCAGATCCACCTGATCCCTGTCCCAGCAGAGCCAGAGCCTGGCAGTGACTCCAGAGCCCTCGGGATGGTGCTGCCAGGGCAGGGGGAGGTCACAGCTGTCGGGAGGTGACAGGGCAGGGCAGGGACGTGCAGGGCTGAAGGAGATGGGGAGAGGAAGGGGGACACTTCTGGCTCTGCAACCCCCTGACAGGAGGGGGGAGCTGGGGGGGAAGGGGGGTCAGGCTCTGCTCCCAGGGAACAAGGGACAGGAGGAGAGGGAATGGCCTCAGTTGCAGGTTCAAGTTGGATACAGGGAAGATTCCTTCCTGGGAAGGGCTGCCCAGCCCTGGCACAGCTGCCCAGGGTAGTGGTGGGGTTCCCATCCCTGGAGGGCTTTCAAAGCCCTGTGGATGTGGCACTTGGGGACATGGTCAGTGGTGGCCTTGGCAGTGCTGAGGGAGTGTTGCACTCCATGGTCTCAGAGGCATTTTCCAAACTCTGTAATTCCATGATCCTCTGAAGTCACCCCTCCCACAGGGATCCCACACTCAGGGTGACACTCACGGGCTCTGTCCTTCCAACTGCACTGGTGCCACATC